CCTTTGATTAGACAAACAACTTCGAGCCGTAGGTCTTAATTTGATTTGAATAAACCCAACGCTTGCTGTGAAGTTTTTTTTCCCTCACTTTTATTCCCACTTTTTCTAAATCCGCTGTGGCTGCTCTTTGTGACCACAAATGATGCAAAGCTTTGCGGGAATATTGTGTCCCCTCCATCCCTTAAACTCCTGTTGCATTACTTGGGTCGTATTTTTATTATGATTTTTTTTCTTGTTGAGTGATTCTCCCTTTTCCTTATTAAATGATCAGCCAGGCGAAAGGGATTAGTTTTGTCCTGGTCTCCTGCAGAGCTGGGAATGGGTAGGGGGAGCATGCAGGGACTCTGCCCCATTTCCCGCTGACATTATCCCAGGTTTTCCCTTCAGTTCCCACTCCGGGGCTGGATCAGGCTCATGGCTTTTCTTTTTGCAGCCAAGGGAGGAACATCTCTTCCCCATACGGGCCCCTTCCCGTGGGAGTCTGTGGCCAAGCAGGTTGGTGCAGCTTGAGCTCTCCGAGGGGCCGCGACCAGTCCCACCGAGGCAGAGACCGGCTCTCCAAAACGCTGCCAGAAGGCAACAAGAACACCCATGTCAAAGAAATCATTTTTAATAATAATTAGGGCACTCAGAAATACGTACAGGTATCAAAATAAGGCTGTTTTCTAAGCGAGTCCTTGTGGTGGGGGGCGTTAAGAAAGCAGTGATGCTTCCTGGACTGAATCCTGTCCCGACGGCAGTCCCCAGGCAATAGCTGGTCCCCAGCCCAGGATTGCGGCTGCCCAGTGTCCTGCAGGCTGGGAGGGCGGCTCAGGACCGGCATCAGCACTGCCGGCCCCTCGCTGCTCCCTGCCAACTGCAAGGAGGCACCTCTTATTAACACAGCATCAATGAAAAGATGGAATCTGGAGTTCCCTGCATCCGCAGGGCTGCGCGCGGGGAGCTTGCAGGTGAAGTGGTCCCTCGTCCGTCCGTTCATCCGTCCCATCTGTGCACTCACAAACTGCAGGGCTGGAGCAAAGCGGAGAGTTTCCTGGCGTTGCCGCAACCCTTCGTGATGGTAAAGCTGGAGGTGCCTGGCAGAGCTTTTCCTCCCCGGCGTGGGGAGGTCCGGGGTGGGCTGTTCCGGAGGGCTGTAGCTCCCAGGCTGCGGGACTCTTGTGTTTGGTTTCCTGCTTGATTTTCCAAGCTGATGCCTAGTTTGGGGTTTTTTTTCTCCCTGAAGATCATCCTGGGGGAGAAGAGTCGTCCGTCAGCTTCGTTAAGAAGTGTCGGTTGGATGTCAGGGGATTTTGTCAGCGTGGCACAGCAGAAGTGCTGGCGCGGCTACGGCTTTGCCATCCAAAAGCACTGGTGAGACCTCGGCACTGCTTGCCCACTCTCACCGGCCGGCGACGCAGGGGGAGCCGGCCTGGAGGTCTCATCAAGAGCAATTTCTGAAGTTCAGTCGTTATTGTTTAACGGGGAATCGTCTCCACCCTCCTCAGCCGCTTGCATGCCCACACAACAGTGAGGCTTTGGAGGGCCAAGGGCACGTTCGTCAGCCCCTGCCCTGTGGGTGCTCAGGCACCTGCAGAGATGCCGGCATGGGGGGACTTGTGATTTTGGGCCAAAATCCACCATTTTCCCCAGTTGGATGGGGCAGCACGGCCCCGCTTTGCATGCAGATTCCTTCTGCTTGGGCATGGGTGCAAACCAGGGCGGGAAGGTGAATTTGGGGTTTGGCTGTTGACTTTTAACCCCGGTTTTCAGCAGGGCCGAGTGGCCGTGGTTATTGCTGAGCTGCAAATCGAGTTACGCGCAGGCACCTTCATTCCTATTCCCCGGCTCCTGCCCGTCTAGCATTGTTAGAAATTCTCCGGCCTCTTTTATCCGCTTGCGGCTTTGAGCGCATGATTTATGATCCAGTTCAAGTGGCTCCCGAGCGTTGCCGGCTAATTTGCCACCCTTTATTTGCAGGACTAAAGCCAGGTGGCACGATGCTGCTGTGCGGATGGAGGGGTGATAGTTGGGAGGGACCGTGTTGGGTGCTGGGGGCTGATGTGGGTGCTCCAGCGAGGGAGTGGGGTGGTTTATGCAGGGCAAACCTCTGCCTCAGTTTCCCCTGCAGCATCGGCATCGCCATGGGTCATGGTGAGATGTGTGCACTGGGGCGTGGAGACCTGGCGCAGTTGTTGCACGTGTGGCCGGGCCCCAGCGGTTTTCCCCCTTTTTTTTTTTCCCTGTTTTGCAGTGAGGGATGAAGCTCCTGGGGCTGACCCCCTTCTGGGATGCAGGGTCCCTGCACGCTGCCCGGTCCTGCTCCCAGCAGCACGGTCACCCAGGAGCTGCGGGGTGGGATGATTTGATGATGGAGCCCCTTGCTGTGAGCTTCCTCTCTCCCTTGGGCATGAAGGCAGAGCACCCTGAGGCTTTAGCCCCTTTCAGGGGTGCCTTTGGGTGCCAGACTTTCCTTTTGCCCAGGGTACAGGGAGGGAGGCACGGGGACGGCCAACACAGTGGCATGGGATTGCTCTGCGTCCGCTTCAGTGCCACATCCTCCAGCTCGGGGTATCCCACCGCACAGTCGGTCCGGTATGTCCCCTGCGGTGGTAGCATCTTCCTGGGGGTGAGTCCTGAGGGTGGAGGTGACCTGGCCACTGCCGGGACACACAGCGTCGGTTCTGGGGTTTGGTTATGGCTTGGCAGTGTCCGCAATGTGGGGAACATGGGGCTCAGGCTGACCCCGACCTCTCTCTGTGCCTCAGTTTCCCCTGTGTACCCATGCCAGCGTTATGCCGTAGGACACGCTGGTGGTGGGGCTGCACTGGTGATGCTCAGCGCCAGCTCTCCGTTAGTAACAGTGATGCATACCTCATCATTTTTTATTTTTTTTTCCTGTTTTCAGGTGAATATGGCCCTGGCAGGGAAGCCTTTAGACGTGACCCTCAGCACCTCCAGAGCTGACCAGTGGAATATGGTTTTTCCCCAGAAAGACGAAATCATCACCAGCTTAGTGTCTGCCTTAGACTCCATGGTAAGAGGCCGGCAGCGGCCCCGTCCCCCTCCCTCCTTTCGCCTCCCTCGAAGGGGGCTGGCTGGGAGCAGGGCTGAAGCAGGAGAGCTGGCCAGCTCATCCCGCTCCCCTCCGCTGCCGGAAAGCCCAGGGAGCTGCCGGAGCTGGGAAATAAAAAAATCCTCTCCCGCCCTGACAACCATAAGGATCATAAAGTCAGCCCAAGTTAATCTCAGATGTGTATTGTTTTCCCATTAATATTTATGGTGGTATCAATTCAATGTAGGGTGGTTGGGTTTGGGTTTTGTTTTTTTTTTCTTCTTGATGTTTTACCAATGTTACCGTGAGCTTTTACACAACAGGAGAACAATGGCTTTTATCTCCGAGAACAAAGAAAATAACTTTCATATCTTTTGACGTAGAATTCCCGGTGGAAACCTTGCCTAAGTCAGCCGTGCTTACATAAACAAGATAACTGTCTGGATTAAGTCTCATGGACCAGAGCTAATCTTATTTTTAACTGTGAATGTGATCAAGAAGGGAAAGCGGGTGTGTAGTAACAAATGTCTAATGCAATGCGACATGCTAAATAGCCCTCCCTTTTTAAAGCCAAGTCGTATTAATATATTTATCTTGGATGCGTCGTCTTCTCTACACCGGTAGGGTTTTTTTTCACTAATCACTAATTTCCTTCTCTTTGACCGTCACCGCCCCACTAAGGAGCAGCTTCCCCAGAGCTGACACACCCCAAGGAGCTCTGATGATTTATATACGTGCCATCCCATACAGCAAATCGTGTTACCATAGTTTGGCTTCTTAATGAATATATATTATTCCGCAGTCCTCGTTAGGTGCTTACAGCAGGGCCAGGGGGCCAGGCTGCTCCTGACATCTAGCCTTTAGCCCAGCGCTTCACCAGCGCCAGGCTCTGCACCCGCTGAAGCCCGGCTGCGTGCGTGAGAAATAAACCACGGGGCCACGTGCGCGTCGCCAAGCGGGCTTAGGGTTTGGGTTTAGTCTGCCTCCAAATCTCCCATCCTCTAGATTTGGCATTTATTTTTTTTGAGTGTTGGGCTTTCGGAGCAAAATAATTCCATTTTCTCCCGCGTTTTTGAAAGGAGGTTTCTTAAAAATATCTATTTGGGGGGATGCAATTCGATACGTCCTTGTTGAAGAAGGTGAGCAGGAGGTAAAATGACCTAATACAGAGACTGATTTAAGCCCACACAAATCAAGCTCGCTGTAAATGTGTGCAGGGAGCTGAAGGTCGCTCGGGGGGAGTCGGTCCATGGGCAGCTGCTGTCCTGCTCCCTCCCCGGCTGCCAGCATCCTCCAGCCCCTCCGCGGTGCCGGGGGCAGGTGACGTGTCTAACCGGGGCTGCCGATGGGAAAATCCCCCCTGGTTTACCCATTTAAATCATGACTTGGGGATAGCGTCTTCAGAGCATCGGTGGTGTAGCTATGGGAATATGACTCAGACTGCCAGCACTGCGTAACTATTACAATATAAGAAATAATAATAAAAACTCATATACATGTGTATTATGTAGAGCAGGAAGCACGCGTTACATAAAATGGATTAATGGCGGAAGTCTTTTCCATCTCTTTAATGTTTTGCATAACTGTACAAGAAGAATGGTTTGGCTAATCCAGACTTTGACCATATTAGTGTTCTGCCGCTGAAATAAGATTCCTGTGCTCCTTATTTCATTAGAGCTGGTGGAAAAATACAAATTGTTGGTGGGTGGTTGTTTTTTGTTTTGCTGTTTTTTGGGGGTTTTTTACAGGAATGTTTTCTTTTAAAGAAATACTATAAAATGTTTACCTTCAGGATAGGAAAAAGTGAAGCGAAATGATGGGTATATAGTTCTTGGTTTCCAGCAAAGCATAGCTCAGCTGGATCCCTTTCTGGAGCCGTAAAGGCGCCGAAGAGTTTAGGAGATGTCATAAACCCCATGAAATTCTGACCCAAAGCAGAACATTACTTTTGATGGGGGAAATCTTTTGATGGGAATTAAAAAATCCCACTGGAAGATGGCAGGGCAGCCAGGCGGGGAGCCTCCCGCAGCCGTTCTGACCCGGTGCCTCCCCGCAGTGCTCGGCGCTCTCCAAGCTGAACGCGGAGGTGGCCTGCATCGCCGTCCACGAGGAGAGTGCCTTCGTGGTGGGCACCGAGAAGGGCCGGGTCTTCCTCAGCGCCCGCAAGGAGCTGCAAGCTGACTTCCAGAAGTTTTGCAGTGAGTATTCCCACCGGCGTGGTCTTCTCCCATGCCGAGCTTGGTACTCCGGTTGGGCCAGCCGGGATGCCTGCTGCGCACGGAGGGGTTGTGGTTTGGGGGTACGGCGGTGCTGTCTGTCCGTGGGGCTGAGCGATGGTTAAAGTGATGCAGAAGGTGGGTGGGAACCTCGGCCGGAGCCTCTTCCCTCCCAGGAAAGGCACCGTGCGCCCCGGTTCTCCTCTCCGAAAGCATCCCTGGGGTGGCAGGGGGCTGGATGGCTGCTTGGCTCCCCCAGCACTGTCGGCTTGCAGCAACACTGCCGGTGCACTGGCGTGGCTTTTGAGAACTTAGCAGAAATAGTTTGTCCTAGTGATCCCCTAGGAGCAGAGAGCCTTTCTTAGGCCAAGGCTTTTTTCCCGGTTTTGAAAAACCAGGGATGGATTTGAGAGCTGGGAGTGTTGGTTGTGGAGTGGCTTTTTTTTTTTTTTTTTTGAGGGGTTTTTTTTTGGTGAAAAGATGCCTTGAGCAGAGCTGTGTTTCCCCCGATCTGAGATCAGAGTCACCGGGATTGCGGGGACGTGTGTGACTGGCAGCAGCCCTGCGCGTGCTGAGGCTGGCACCCAGCCCTCTGTGCCGGCTCCGTGCCTCTGCCCCCTCCCCAAAACCAGCCTGGGAGCTGAGGGGAAGGTGGGAACCATGCTGAGAATGGGGACCTGCGTTTCTTGGATGGCATCATCCCTGGCACGTCAACTGCTGCTTTTCCCCACTCCATGCAGGAGCTGGGATGGGATCTGGCTTTGGTGGTGCTGGGGACCCCAGACCCGGGTGGTCCCCAGACCCGGATCTGCTGACACGCACGGCCCGCAGCGGGATGTTGGCGGAGAGAAACAACCCAGCTGTGTGTGCGCACTCATGGTGTTGACAGAAACCATATTGGTGCTCAGTCCGTTGGAGAGATTGCTGAGGAAGGGTTTGCTCCAGTGAAAACATTAGTGCTGCAAAGCCACCGGGGTCGCTGGCTGCTCGGGTTATTTGCCGCGCGTCTGCGGGGTGAGCCGGCACGGCTTTGCAGGAGCGGCTCCATGCCAAAGCTCCGCTCTGCCCCTCTGTCCTGCCCGGCGTGGGCAGCTGCCTGCCACCCCCACCATGGCACTCGCACCCAGGACAGTCGCCGTTGATTATCCTCCGCTTTGGTGCGTTGTGTTTCGCAGGACAGGAGGCATTTTGGGGACATTTCCTGAGTTCTCGGGTGACTCTGCCTCCCCTTCCCACCGCCCACGGGAGGCAGGGAGGTACCCGAGCGGTGAGCGGCAGTGGGGTGGCCAACAGGACGGAGCTCCATCTTATATATTCAATGCCAACTGTGTCACCTAGAGCTCACAATATTGATGACCATCTGCAAATCTCACTTTTAGAAATATATGAACGTATCCCCTGCCCGTGACCTGCCTCTGTGCTGGGGCAAGGCAACCGACGTTAGACCCCGATTCCCCTCTCCTCTGGTTTCACTTACGCCTTTGTCAAAATGAAATGGTCACGTCTGGTTGAAAGCACAAAATCTTGGCGATGGAGTTTGGGTGAAGCGGCTGATGCTGGAGACAGGGTGAAATGTGATAACTCTGTCTTGAATTATAAATGGCCCAGGCTCAACTCCGCTCCATAAAGCTCTTAGAGCTGGCACGCAGTGGAAAGCATCCCTGGAAGTGCCTCTGATTTATAGTCTAGCTGCCCCCCCTTAGAAAAGATCGGAAATAATCTAAAGCAGACATCACTGGGAGATGTAAGAAGCCTCTTATCTCTCTGGGCGCGCAGACCTCGCTTGAACACCCTCCTTTATCTGAACCTCTGGCTCAGCCTTTCCTGGTGCACGGGGGGACTTGACAGTGATCAGGATTAATGTCAGCGGGGGAGAGTTCGCGCCCAGCCGGGGGGGGAGAGTCGCTCGCAGGAGGGTGTGGATGCAGATACATTTCGCCACCTTCATAAAACACCCCAAGAAAGTTTTCCAGGGCCCGTTTCCCCGTGCCGTGGGAGGCACGTGGAGCTTGCCGAGGGTTGCGTGGTGTTGGGTGGTTGGCCCCTTTCTTATGGCTAGGGCTGGGGGTAGCCTGGGTGGCCCTCGTCCCCATCCCAGCGATGTCCCAGCCACAGGAGGGATCCATGAGCTCCTTCGTCAGCCTGAGCACCCAGGCAGCATCCAGGGCTGATCACCGGCAGGAGCCTGTCGAGGATGATGAAGGAATTAGTCCTTCGCCACCGAAAATCCCTTGTGAATCGCTTTGGATGGAACGGCAATAATGCACTTGTAGTGTTTAATTTTCTGTGCGTTTAGAGATGCAAGGAAGTCATTGCCGAAGATATGCTTTATTTGAGGTTTAATGGGGGAAATTAGCAGGAAATAGCTGGTATTACCAAGCTACGTGATGCTGAAGGGTAAAAAAGGCTCCAAGAAAGGCGGATTTTCTTTTCCTGAGAGATTGAAGGCTAAGCAGA